CGGTACAGCTTGCCACGGAGTTGCTCGTGCCGGAGCCCCTTGGTGAAAGCGGCGACGGCCTTGGCGTCAGTGATGTTGGGAATGGAATTTCTTGTCTCTGAGAAACGCTTGATGAAGTCACCCAGGGACTCCCTAGAGGATTGGTGAAGCTTCTCCAGGTCATACTTGGTGCCGGGCCGCTTGCACGTGGCCATGTAATTGTCGGTGAAGACTTTCTTGAGGTCATCCCAAGAACAGATGGAATTCTCCCGTAGGCTGAGGAGCCAGTTGTTCATAGACTGGTTAAGCATGACAGGTAAATAGTTCACCATGATGTCTTCATCTCTGCCTGCAGCTCTTACGGCGATCTCATATAGAGTTAGCCACTGAGCAGGGTTGGCCTTTCCGTCATAGGTGTTAACACCAAGAACCTTGAAACCCATAGGCCACCAGACGGCTCAGAGCCTTTCCATGAAGGGGTAAAGTCATAATGCGCCGGCAGGAACTGGCACTTGACGGGCAACAAATCCCTCATGTTCGACGTCGAATTGCCAGTGACGCTCCATCTCTGCTTCATAGCTTGTGGACCTGCTATTTTCGATGTGGCCGTGGACATCTGCGCTAGCGTTGAGGTGGTCACGAAGGACATGAGGGGGTTGATTGACCTCCTGGTTGCGGTTGCCACCCTAACCTCCATGAGGGCGTGGTGGGCGGCCGTCGTGACGTGAATGAGCTTCATAGTTGCCTCTAGATCATCTATAGATGTAGGGACCTCTAGCCTAAGGCCGGGGGCCCTCCAGCCTGAGGTCGGAGGCCCTCAGTGCCATGATGTTGGCCTCCTCCATCATGGCAAAAGCGGCGGCTATGAGCTGATGCGGTGGAATAAGATGGGATGTCGTTCCAGAACTCGTTGACTTGGACTTGCGCTGCTATGGTATGTGCTCGAACTTTCTCGACCTCTGGAGTGTGAGGAAGTTTGTCGAGCTCATTGAAAGTGATGGCAAGATTGGCACTTGGGGTCTGGTAGACTGGTTGGTCGCCCACCATGTCAAACGCCTCCTCTAGATTACGTTGATGGTGGGACGGGTCGCGATGATCCTTGTCGGCCACTTGGGCTGCTTCTGCATCTTGGCGATGTTGGCGATCAACGTTCTTCGCTAGACGAGCTTCACGCTCTTCAGCAGTTTCACCGTTCTTGGTGACGATGTCATGGATGACATGGAAAATCATGCCCCCGAACCCCAGAGGGAAAGCAGGGTAGCTTGACACGGCCTTGGTTGAGCCCTCAGAATAATCGTCGGGGCTCTCGTTTAGAACGTTATGGAGAGATTCGGGGGCATTCAAAAGTTGGCGAATAGCCACCATGTTGACCACGGGCGTGGGCTGACCGGAGTCAGTCAGGTCGATCATGTAGAGGTCGGTGATGTGGTCACGCTCGACGTGGTCGACAAAGAGGTGGTGGATGGCGTTCTGGTACGCAGATTCGACACCCTCTAGCCCAAAAGGATAGGGCTTCGGTGGGTCCTCCATCGGGGCCTCGTAGTCGGCCAAATGTAGGCCGGTAGCGGGAAGTGGTCGTGATCACCAGATCAGAATCTGGACACCTTGAACGATGTGGCCGAGCGGGTCGCTCGGTTGCAGCGGCTTAGTGATCTTGGAGTACGAGAAACTCATCGCTCGCTCTAGATTGATCTGAGATCGAATTCATGAGGAGCTGACATTCCGCTAAGCGATCTGTGACCCGATCAATGGATCCGATCAGATCATCATTGCTGATGGATCTCCAAACCTAGCGACGGGGCACCGGGATCAGAGATGTCATTGCAGGTGTTGGCGCGATCGGCGCATGGTGATCCTGCACCGCCCCCACGATCTCCCTGTTACCGTTGGAGCCAATGACCCATGTCATGGATCCGACCGTGAAGATCTAGCCTAGCTCGGGGAAGGCCATGGAGCTCGAGAATGTGATCATCTGGTTCGCCATGAATTTAGCACGCACACCCCCTACCTGGCACGCCACTGTCGACGAAATACGTCTGGCAGTCTACCGAGGGGTATGCCCACGGTATTAGATGAATCGGTGGAGGTGCGCGTGAGGGAGCTGGATGGTGACACAGAATGCAAGAGACAGCGATTAGACAGGTTCGGGCTGTCAGCTTGACGTAATACCCTACGTCATGTGTCTTTGTGGGTTGTATTGCGTATAATCCGATGAAAACGAGAGGGTCCCTACCCGCCTTATATAGCTCCCGAGGTAGGGTTACAGATCAGTTGTTTCTATCCTGATCGGTTTTATAAGATAGAAAGTTACAGATATTACGTGATCTAGCATATCCGAGCAGGTTTCCTAGATCACCGAAGATCTTCACGTAGTCTTGCGGGGCACGCCGACCTGTGTCGTGCCTCGCACGGTGCAGGCATGTAGGCTAGGCCTCCACCAGTGCCGTGGCCCATGCGCAGTCTTGTGAGCTGGACCTCCCCTAGCGGCTTGGCCCATGTACAGCCCTGTTAGTATCGGGGGTTATACCCCCACAACAGCCTCCAGGCCTTCGCCCACAATAGCCACTCGATCGGGGGCCTCTGTCTGTTTTCCCTGTATGTTGCCCATAAAAATTGGGAAAACTGTTAGTCCTTACCGTTATCGTGAACCTTAGCCTCCACGGCTCATAACGGTGCCCCAACAAGGACGAGGAGAGTCGAAGGCGAACTCTTGAGACCACACGGAAAGATAAGACCAACCAAAAAAAAGATAGCCTAGGAGTATGACACATAGGGTCATGGTTGATAGGTGGGGCCAATGATGATTATTGCTAATGGTGTTGATAAATGACATCATTCCATCCCTCTCAATCCCTCCTACTAAATAAAAAATAGGATAAATCTATCTTCTCAACCAAACACAAAGGTGGGATGGTCCCAAAAAATAAGCATAGAACCATCCTATTGTTGAAGTGTATAAGTGGATTGCCTACCTTCTCCCAATGGCTTAAGCTTTTGGATTCATGTGGTCAGTGCAGTCCACTCTAACATGATATCAAAATCAGAAGTCTCGAGTTCGAGTCCTAACAGAGGCTCCATAAGTGTATAAGTGGATTGCCTACCTTCTCCCAATGAATTAAGCTTTTGGGTTCATCTGGTCAGTGCAGTCCACTATAACACCTATCAAAACCAAACACAGGTTAGTAAACTCACTTGTACTTACAGTAAGACCTCTCCACCTTATAGATACAATACAGGGCCACAGCTAATTGAGAACATCTAATCATTTCTATCAAACAATATCATTTTTTTCCTTCTTTTATCTTTTTCATTCCCCCAACATATTTAGCTAAGGGGGCATCCTAGATGACCTACCGAGTCTAGGGCACAATGGTATGCCCTTGTCCCGACGTCCTAGGTTAGCATTCAACGACGACAAACGTTGTAGCCTGTCAAAACTGGTTATGTCGGGTGACAAAACCAGCTAAATCAGGTTTCGCAAATGTGATGTAAGGAGTGTCTTTGCAAGCTGTACGTGACGTGCTTGTCTAACGACGTGTTTTAGCGTTAACTATAATATAAACACATAACAGTTTTTTAGGCTCCCTCCTTTCTAGCGTCAGTGTGTCATATAGGCAAAAAGTAAAATATGCAGGTTCTAGAACCATTATTTTAACATAGAAAATGCAAAAAAAAAAGTAAGCATCCTCATCTCATCCCTTCTATTTTGATGTAGAATACTACTCTCTGCTTTCCAAATTATAAGATATTTTGATTTTTCTAAATACATTATTTTTGCTATATATCTAGATATGTTGTATACCTAAATATATAACAAAAACTACGTGTCATGTATCCAAAAAAAGTCAAAATGTCTTACGTATAATTTAAAATGGAGGGAGTATTACCATCATTGTCCGGATGTTTTTTATGAACTATACAAAGCGGTTGCACATTCTCAAATTATTTTTTTAGTGTGGCATCATACTCATCGTCAGTCGCAAAAAAATACATTCTGGAGGCGGGTTAGGATTTGGCCATCTCCCCTGGTTCTAAATCTCGGCGGCAGGTTGGCGCGGCGGTGGGTGGGCGGGGCGGTGGGGCGCCTCTCCGCCGGTCAAGGCGGTGGAGGTGGCTGTTTGGGTGAAGCAAGGGCGGGGGAGTCTCGTCGACCATCAGTTGATGGAGGCGATGGATTAGCTGAGGACGAGCAGTGCAGCGAAGCGGCATGTCGCCGCGGTGACCACGGGTGGTGGTGGAAGGCGGCGACGGGTGGTGTCACACGCTCGTGTGGGAGCATGACCCGTCGTCCGATGTATAACTGTGTCCAAGTCCAGGTTCCTTTGGATGATTCATTTGTTGCTTAGTAAATTGTGACCAGCTCTTTCTTTTTTTTTGAAATAAATCGACAGGAGAGTTATCTATATTAAAAAATTTTAAAAGAGAAAGTGAACCCAAACAGGTACTGTACTATTTTTTGACATCAGCAGTGATGCTCGTTTTTTGATGTCACGGGGTGTATTGTTTTTTTTCGCGACCATGCTCATCTGAGCCCGTTTTTCATTAAGAGGCTAGCAAGATGCTTACAGAACGCAAGCCACGGCTTGCAACATGGAAGGTCAAACTGAAGAGAAATGAAAAAGCGGTAAGAAGCAAAGGGCGCTAATACACTAAACCATTTTGCGACCAAGAAGCAACTCCAATCACATTGTGATGCTTATAGGCACGGCGGTCAAAGTCGTTGCAAATCCAATCACAAGCAACGCGGATCTTTCACTAGATTTTTCTCTTTCTTTTAGTACCAATATAAATACTTTACCGTTTGTCCCTTTTATAATATGTTGTTACACTGAACTATACCACCAGACACCAGTAGGATCATTGGTCAGCATTAGCTTGTTTTTCACACGCGTACACAACACACGACTACTTCAACAATCAACTTTCTTTGTGTACCAGCACATTCCTCTACACACACTAGTTTCCTTTTTTTTTTTCCAAAAAGAACCCTGCATCTTATTGTGTACGTAGGCTGTATAGCTCTAGTAGTGCTTGAAGCTGTTGCACAGGAGGAAAAGCTCGAAATCGTTGAAAGGGACGTCATCTGCAGGTGCTTCCACTCCCGCCATCCGCGCGGCCATGTCCTCCCCACCAGCTGCAGAGTACTCATCGGAGGACTCGCTGGAGATGCACGAACTCGTCGTCGACGTCGCAACGCCGCCATGACAGTCTCTTACAGTGCCACAGAACCGCCGCATGCCGACAGGAACCAACAGGTCTTGGCACAGCGTCGTCGTCGTCCGATCAAAAGGCAGGGCAGAATAAGGCTCGGCGGCGACCAGAGGAGGCGGCAGCAGCGCTGTTGGCGGTTCTTGCTTCACCATGGCCGCCGCATCGCAGCTGCTGTTGGCAACAATGGCAGCTGAGGTGGTGGGCGCAGTAGCAGTGCACTCGCCGCCGCCGCCGCCGCTGCTGCAAGTGTGCTTGCCGTTGTATGTGACTTGGAACACCGGCGGATCGCTGCCGATGTCGTCGCTCTGCTGGACGTGCTTGGTGGCCCGGCAGCCGATGTCGTCCTTGTAGGTGCACCTGAAGTAGCTCCTGGTGTGGCCCGCGCCGTTAATCTTCTTCTCGCCGTATTTCCTCCACTTGTAGCCGTCCTCGTACGGCACGGTGGTGAAGTCGACCCACGACGACGTTGATGGCTTGTTTCTCCCTGCCATCGCCGATGATCTGCAAGAAGTACGTGTGTAGTTCGTCGGTTATATGTTGCATATTTGCATTATATGCAACGTGTTAGATGATGTCGATCAGGACTAGCTAGAGCTCACCTTCGTCTTTTGTTGCCTGATCTGGTCGCTGTTTCTTGGGAAGAATTGGAAGGGAGTAGTCCTACTCCACCAGGTCCAGGCTCAGCTTTGACCAGCTCGGCTGGTGGTGTCACTGCAGGTGGACCACTGCCACTGCAAGAGAGAGTAGCTGCAGGCTGCTGCTGCTGCTGCTGCTGCTTCATGACGGAGAGGGCGACGTTGAGGGCTCGCAGCGCCTGGCCGAGGAGGTTGTGCTCCAGCCGGGTGGTCGTCGTCGTCGTGGATGGCGATGGCGACTGCGAGGAGGAGGAGGAGTGGAGGAGGACAGGCCGCTGGAGCTTGATGTGCTCGTACACCTGCGCCACCTCCCTCACCGCGCCATCACCATCCATCTTCTTATTATTAGCTTCTTGCTGGATATATATGGGCTTCTTATGTGTGGTATAGGAAGCTAGCTGGTGATGCTATCTGTGTCAAGCTAGCTCATTGTCGTGGGCTCCTACTTATATATGCAGACTTCACCCCGAGACCAGAGTAGCTACCAGAGCGCGTGGAATTCGACAGGACCAGGGAGCAGGTGAGGGTAAACTCACCGATGACCAGACTAGCTAGTAGCTACCATAGTCTAGTCTAGTATACCTAGAGCATGTTTGACAGGCCCCGGCTCCTGCAGCAGCTTCTACGGAGGAGCGCGCCGTACCAAACACCTTAGGAGGAGTCGTTTTATAGGAAACGGTAGAGGAGCCGAATCCATTTTTAGACCTGGAGTCGGAGTCAAAAAAGTGACTCCACATCAAGTACTCTGGCTTTCCAAAGAAGCACTTGAGGAGGAGTCTTGCCAAACAAGCCTGTAGCTTTACGAATGGTACGTGTGGAAGCCAGACGCAATTCCAATTAACACCCGCAAGAAGATATACCAGGAACCTCTGATCATGTTATATATCATATACTCTCATGTATCTGTTAAATCTGGTTCGGTTCATTCTAGTGATATATGTTGCCCACCCCTTGTTGGCATAAGAATCCCCCCAAAAATATGATATCCAGGTTGGTTGTTTTATGTCAACAACCCTTGAAAATAGATAAGTTTTCAGGGGACATTTTCTTAACTCAATCACTTCTAGAAATCAGTTTCTAGGAGCGGTTCAAAAGCTACATACATTGCAACCATACAAAGGGACATTAATATCGGTTATCACTATTGTTTTATGGTAAACTATACAAAATAGCGAATCACCAAAATTTCTGAAACTCCTGGACAACAAGTATATGACGTCTATTGCATGTGAATAGAAAGATTTAGGTTACATAAACATATGGTAACAAATACTTTAAAATAAAATTACATATACGATAACAAAGACCTTTTCGAAAAAGAGGTAGAACCTTTGTCTGGCTCGGACAATGTTAGCGTTAGAGTCTACAAACACATTATAATATAACTACTTCACAAACATTCTTCTAGCACCCAACTAATCTCAAAAGTGCAAAAGCATGTCAGAGGGGGTGGAGGAGCCACTAGGCTCAGGGGCGAAGGTATGTTATGTGTAGGGGGTGCAAATGCACCACCCAAAAAATGCAAAAACAGTTATTTTGATTAAAATTTCACCATATATGCACCCCCTATTAGACTTGTCTATGCACTCACAAGGCAAGTGCACCACCGTCTAATTTGCTCTAGCTTTGCCACTGACTAGGCTCACGAGCAGTGATGAGCCAATGCTCGCCGCTAGATCAACATAGGCCAAGAGTCAACCGGCATACGCTAGCATTGCTGCCAACGCACCTTGTCATTGGCGTGTCTTCATCTTCACGAACATTCTTCTAGCACCTCTTGTGCACCATCTTGACTACGAATTAATGGAATGTGTATGCGGACCTCTTTCTCGCATAGTGAGCACGTATTGATGAGACTACAAATGGTGAAGCAATGAATTGGTGTTACACGTAGGGGATCGATGTGGGACAAAGCAAGACCTCATATGTCTTATAACCGGGAGGAATGATGGTAGGTGAATCGAACAATGAAGAAGTAAGTAATTTGAAGGTAGTTGGATCCAACGGCCAAAACATGTCGGGTCAACCTAAAACCCGGCAATGATGGTTTCATGTCGCTGCAGGGTGAGCAAATGAATCGATAGTAACATATCACTGCTAGGTGGAAAGTTGAGCCGGCAGTGATACACTAACTATTAGTGCCGGTTAGAGCCACCAACCCAACAGTGAAACATCACTGCTGGTTCATAGCTTCAACAACCAACAATGATATATGTCTTCACTAATGGTTTAAAAGGATCGCCAGTCATTGATTGGATCCTAGGCTTACGGTCTGACGGTGAAGCATAGTCGCTGCCGGTTCCAGCACAACCGACCATATATATGATGGCTTTGTTGTAACATAGTGTTTGCAAACAACAAGAGATTTATAAGTTATAATCCTCACTACCATGAAGTTACAATTTGGTAACTAGCAAAGTAGCTAGCAATTAAGCAACTGTTTTGAAGAAATTTGCTCTTTGGCAACAGCTGACAGTCCTAGCTAGGTTAATTCATCACTAAGATAGAGAAGGGTATTGTATACCTTGGGTAGTCAATTTATGCCATATATATGATGTACTACTACTTATTTGTGCTGCGTGCACTTCTTTTCCACACGCAGACGTACGCTGGATTATTTACTTTCTAGTTTCTCTAAAGATGGATTATTGCATTGACAAATGACAATGAGGAGAGCGAGACGACTCGATGGAAATTCCAATTCAAAGTTCATGTGGACACAGGACACAATGATTAATTGATGAAAGCAAATAAAAGCTGCAGGCACTAATCTATCAGGGGTTCATTTGTTATAGCTTACCCTTCAATCGTGGCACAGCGTGCGTTCACACGTGAAAGTGATGCACGGGATCGGAGACCTCCAAGGGTAACCTAGCTATACTATCTACGTAGGATGCACGCAAATGACCGACCGGCTGATGTTATCTGTGGTTTGGCCTCAAGCACAAAACTCATAATATAACGGTCTGCTGGTGTGTCAGTCTATGAAAATTTAATTCTCCTATATATCTAGCTATAATATGGTCGAACTTAACTATCCCGCCCACATAAAAGTCACGCAGTGTGGCCCAACAATGTTTATATGCCGGGTCAGCGGTGACTGCCATACCTTGAATATGTCGGAATCTTCCCCATCCTGGCTTCATCCTCCTGTGTTTTTCCTATCACCCTAGACATTGTTTGAATGCCCATTTATCCACCTCCAAACAAGTCCATCTTGTAATAAATAATTGTCCTCTAATCTCTTCTTGACACTAAAACCGTTTTCTTTCTTTCTCCATGATGTAGGAAATTTTGCCATCATTTAATTTCACGACCAGGTTTCTTCTGTTTCTTATATCAATTTTACATGTTATTAATCCAAATCAAGTCTCTTTGCTATAACTCTTGTAATAAATAATTGTCCTCTAATCTCTTCTTGACACTAAAACCGTTTTCTTTCTTTCTCCATGATGTAGGAAATATTGCCATCATTTAATTTCACGACCAGGTTTCTTCAGTTTCTTCTATCAATTTTACATGTTATTAATCCAAGCGTGTCATCGGGCTCTTGGGACCAAGTCAGCCCTCGCAAATCCTCGCATTCCACGGATGGCTGCTCAATGTTGAACTAAGAAATTTTTTGTTTGTTTTTTTGGCCGTGTCTGGGTTGAGGATGCTCCATCTTCTAGCTAAGAGCAATTCCAGATTTGTTTGATATAATTAACTTGCTAAACCAATAAATTTAGCGAGTTAACAAAATAAAGCTAGCAACCTCAATTTATTGTCCTCTCTAATAGTTTTCTTTATTAGCTTCCTAAACGGTTTTTGCATTGGGAACCTCAACTATTTCTAACAAACCGAACTTTTTTAATTAGTTTCTTTGTCTCTTAGCGTTTTCTCACATAAATTTTTTTCTTCTTCATTTTTTTCAATTTAATTTGATATCTTGGGTCTTCTCTTGTACTTCTAGGGTCTTGCAAAGGTGTTGATCATCGGATCATCATGTCAATTTACTCCTATCCATGAGAAAATCAAACACCAAAATCCAGAAGCGGAATGGTCCATTTTCCTCTCACATAAATTTTTATTTTTAAATTTAATTATGCATCCAATTTACTGTGAAAAAACTTAGATGAGAAGCAGAATGGAGAGAACATTTGGTAACTTTTTTTATTTTTAAAGAGCTCTTTTACCAAATTGTTGGAGGACATTTTATTTCTTTTTTTCTAAAAAGTCAAAATAGGGAATTGTTTTGCAAAACCTCTGAACATGCTCTAATAAATTTGTGGACTGATCTCTTCATTTCTTTTTTGAACCGACTGATCTCTTTTTGAAGAGGGTATCTCAAAAACAGTAATAGTCTGCAAGGAAAGAAAAAGAAAGAGAAAATAGCACATCATACTAGCCCATTTCACGAGAGAACTCTGCAAAGCCCTACTAACTGTAGCACGCCCGCTAGACAAGCCCACAGCGGTACAATACAGCCCAAACAGGCTCCACGCACAGAACAACTGAGCCCAAGTGCTTGGATGTGGAGGCCCAAGATCACAACACAACGACTAGCTAGTAGCATTTGCGTTTCGGCCTAAACAGTCACAATCCACATGATTGAAAGCACGATGAAAATGAAATTATTCTGGTCCATGTGCCAACTCTAGAGATCCGATTGAGCTAAGATTGTCATGTTTTGTCTCCAAAACTGAACTCTTTATTTAGAGATAAAGAGAGCTCAAGCAACGAGTTTCTAAAACTGTATACTTCCTTTGTCTTGTCTCTAAAAATATGAAACCATTGCCCTTTTTTATTTGTTCGACTATTCGTCCTTTTTCTATAAATATTTGTGCAAAATGTGTTTGGGCGTGGCTAGCATCCAGACATTTGGATGAGCGCGACGCCCGCGCAGCCCACCTCCGTCCACCTCGTTTCGACTCGCACACGCACCACGCCCTCGACGCTGTGACGTTTGCTTCCTCTCATCTAGACGGCCGCGCAATCCGCCCCGTCTGCCTTGCCCCCGCCTAGCACGCGCACCCTGCCATGTCGCTGCGCCTCGCCCCTTTCCCTGACACCATCCTCTCTCTGCGTGGGTAGGACCTAGGAGCCGGCCTCTAGCTCACCGCGCCCTATCCCCTGGCGCCCGGGCCATGCGCCCATCACTCATCATGCCCTGTGAAACACTTGCAATATGAAATAATTAGATGCAACATACATCTGATGACACAAATAAAACACTTGAAACATACTGTTGTGACATATGTGTGAAATATTCCTAATAAAAACACTTGCACATATGTGTGAAACATATGCAACATCCAGATAAAACACTTGCTGCAACATACGTCTGAAACAGATGAAACATTTGAGAAAAACCCTTGCAACATACCTCTGAAAACACTTGCAAAATATGCAACATATGCAAAATCTTAATCTTCTTTTTGTACCATCCATATGTAACAACTATAACATACCTCTGAAACATCTGAAACACTTAAAATATACGTTTGCAACATTGGGGAGGAGAAGACCGGGGCCGATCGATTCCGATCGTCGAGGTAGGATCTGGCGGCGAGCGAGCGAGCATCACCACCACCACCACCAGCCTTGGCTCGGACGGGCGAGCAGCGCGCGCCACAGGAGGGAGCGGGCGGCGCGGCGCATAGCCGAAGCGAGGAGCGAGGCGCGGGTGGGGGGCGCAATGGGCGGGAGAGAGGAGCGAGCGGCGCAGGTGGGGCGCGCGACAGCCGGGAGCGAGGAGCGCGCGAGCGAGCGGCACAAGGTGGGTGCGTGGTGGGAGAAGGCGGCAACAGCGAGCGGGGTGAGGCGCGGCGTCTGGATGGGAGTATGGGACGGACGCCTTTGGCCAAGCATTACTGAAATTTTTTTGAACTCAAATATATGTGCAAATATACAAACATACAAGAATGTTTAAAGTACATTTGGTGACAGAGATGAGTAGTGAGTTTTAGTTCTGAATCATTAGATTTGAATAGGTTCGCTTGTGTTGGCAATTGACCCACGGTTATTTTCGTTCTTCCAAAGATAACTATAATAATCTACTAGTACTTTGGTAGAGAAACTTCAATCCGCATTCTTCACATATATCAATATAATAAGGAGAGAAGCCAGGTGGCCATCGAGCCAGTAAGTTCACTGAAGCCACTGTAGTCTCAACTCGCAAGCTCCACTTCAACATTGAACGACTATAACAGCGCAGGGCATATTATGTTCAAGTTCGCTAGTACTTAGTATTTCAATAGTAGAGCTAGCAGAATGATCAGGCAAACCTTCTGTCAGGAATTCCATACATACTACTATCATCCCTGAAGGCCTGAACAAACAAATGGTGCTACCTCAAAAACAGTCTACCAGATAAAAGAGACTCCAATACCATTCCTCACGTCATATTCAATCACGAAAATGTGGCTTCGGTCTACCAGATAAAAGAAACTCCGATGCCAATGCCATTTTTCACACCATATTCAAGCACAAAAATGTGGCTTCAATCTGACAGTAAAGAAGTAAGCAACAGGGCACGAACATCTCTATGGGGACCTGTAGGTTGGGTCCCTATGGTTCATGCCCAGGACGGGACAGCAATATGTCAGTTGCCTCCAACGCCACATATAAACTTCACTTGGAGCTCAAAAAAAAAACAGCGGACACCTTCTCATCACAAGAAATGGAAGTACTCGATGCATCTGGACTGACCGATCGGTAGCAACGTCCTCGTCCTCGGCAGAGAACCCATGCTGCTGGAGCTGGACGAAGCGTTTGCCCCTGAAAAAGTGTTAATCTCCATCTTAACCGAACTGTCGTTACTGTTAGGAGACGGAGACGATGCGGTGGTCCACTGAAACCGGTTTGCTGCGTAGGCGCTCCTCTCAGCCGGCTGTTGGTTGCCTCTGAAAGAATGTGTAATCGGTGACTGATGCGGCTCATCTCTGAAAGAATGGGGGCTGAAGCAGATCGACACCGCTTTACTCGAGGCCGATTGCGCGGCAATATCTCTCGTGCTTCCTATGGGATTTGAGATGATGCTGCAGGTGTGATGGTTGAAGTAAGTGACAGAGAACAACGGTGGATCGCTTGTGTCCTTCTGTTGGACGTGCTTTGTAGCCGGGCACTTCATGTCGTTCTTGTAGGTGCATCTGTAATAGAACCTGAAAACAGGATGTCATGTACTGAAATCTCACTTCGAAGGGAAAGAGGTGAATTGTTGGCCAAAAATGCCCGGCCAATCCAAATACTTTTACCGACTGCTTAGTGCTTACAATAGGATAACTTACTCCTTACTAACCAAAATAGTCTATACCCACTTTTCATTTCTTGGTTTTGTGATAATAAGTACCGCCAGGTCTTCCACTAATGATATTAGTCATGTCCTTTCCCCCCTCTATTAACACTTAGTCTACCTAAATTAGGTGGAACAGCATTGATAAACACCTTTGAGACATCTTCTACCTCCACCGCCTTTTAGGAAAACAAACAAAAGTTCTGATCTGTCAACATGCTCTTAATGGGCTTACAAGAAACCGCATTCCAATCACTCTCCACGAAAATTAAAAGAAAGGTAGCAGAGACTGTCGGCATTCACACTAGTAATAGTTGAAAATTGAGTTAGAGAACAAGGGCGCTAAGCAAATGATGGAACTTTTACTTGCTAGTGAAGTATAAGATTTGATTATTTGAACAAGTTGCAAATGGCAGGTAATAAAGGTGGCATGTGGATCGTATATTACTATTCATATAGGAAGTAACACTTTACAAGTTTTTATTTGTCTAGTTGAGTTGTCAATAATTAAGAACGATAGCTACTGTGAAGGTTATTTTCCTAGTCCAGTAATCGTTACATAGAACAATTTGTTTCTTTCAATCAATCAAGGCTATGGCCTATATATGGTAACAAAAAAGGGCAATTCCTTAGTTGCCATTGTAAAATTTTGCAGTTCTTTATGTGCCACCAATGTCTCAATGGCATATGGGGACCACCTATGCCACTAGCAGTGGCAGATAGAGGATTATGCAAAACCGTAATGACAAGAAAAGGATTTCTTGTCGTCTTAGAAGTGACTAGTAGACAAACACACAATTTGATATATCCTCCATCAGAGGTAAACAAAAACAGTGGAATGGTCAAGATCTGTGCCTACAAAACCACCATAACACGCTTCATTTAAGAAGAAAATTACAGCATTAGAGATAGGAAAAGCATGTATAGTTCATCTTTACTTATTATACAACTGGAAGCCATTACAGAACAAATTGAAGGTATTAAAAACTAGGAATTCTTCCAGTAAAACAAGGCATGTAAAGCTTGTTCCTGAATTAATTCCAAAGATTAGAGGTAACTACCCTCAGTACGCAGTTCACCCAGTAACAGGTCCTACAAACTCATTACATTACAGATATAGTAATAACTAAATTGACGATTCGTAGTAGTAAAGAGAGGTTTTTGCACACAAAGGGGATGCATGCATGGACTGAAACAACAAACTTATTTGGAGAATATAACTCTATTGGCAAGGGGACGAAGAATCCAAGAGGGACTAAAAACCTTGGGAAGTTGGAGTTGGAGAGCTTCTTCTCGCCGTACTTCCTCCACTGGTGTCCATCGTCGTAGGGTGCATATGTGTCTGAGGTCCAGATGCGCTCATCTTTCCTGGTGAGTTTTTTTACAGAACAGAAATTGAAGAAAAGGCATCAGGATGAAACAGATGAAGCCGAACAAATTTCGCAGCAGAATTTAGGAACGAACCTACGATGAAGCGTACCTGATTCTTTGCTGCTGGGCTCTGGCAGCCTGGTGGGATCCCAAATCACTGAGATAGGTAGGAACAGACTCAAGAGCCATGGCGAGGATGATGGAGGAGGGAGGAGAGCAGGAGGCGTTTCTTGGCAGAACGGAGCTAGGCAGCTTGTGCCTGGGACTTGGAAGAGCTGACCACCTTTATTTATAGCATTAAACAACGACGGTGTAGGAGCATTCTTCAACGTTAGCACGTGTCACAGCCTATGTCTGGCTGGAATTCCACTTAGCGGCACTGCAGTGCTTTTTTTTTCATCCTCTCCTTCACTTTGTTCTCAGTGGCAAGAACAAAGCCACGTCCTGTTTATTGGATTATTGCAACCAATAAAGTTTACAAGCACTAATATCCTTGAAAGCAAAATACAGAGTATCCAAGAGCATATGTCACACTTTGTTTCGTCGTCTATGCAAAGCAATATTGGATAGAAAAAACTGAAGACTAATCAGGCTGAGAGCAACAAAGTTGCGCAAGCACATTGAGAAAATATCATGAGAAATGTCCTATAAGAAATAAGAGTTTCTACATATTCCCTTTTTTATCTCTAGATGTCAGTCAAATAGTTTCAGGAATAATATTAGTATCTGTAAGCACGCAGAAACGGAGAAGAGCCCGCCACATCTAACTAACGAAATGCCATTATCAACACAAACCCATGTGCAGGAGGACAGCTAGCTCAAAGCCCTGACTCTGCATTTCTTTACATTTCTCAAGACTCTCATCTTGGTCTTATATTACTTGTTAAATAAAAAGGAGGCACAACTTTATAACAAAATCTTGGGTTTGGTGGGTCGATCCCCACCGGCACAGGCATAGGGAGGAAATAAAGAACTATAATAGGACACCCCTTTGAACAAATTTTCACCAACTAGTCATTTTCAATGTAGTCCCAAGAGGCAAGAGAGAAGCATAGATAATTAACCCTGTCAGCATCTCCTGATTAAGTAGTGTTAGTTATCATGCTAAACTGCTAATGACCTTATGGACAGAAAACAAATGCTCTAGGATATGTTGAAAATGACATGCTTTACATATTTCTTTCCAACTTTGAATAATGATAAATCACTTGGCTAGTTGCGAGGTGCTTCTATGCTCTTCCAAAACTTAAATACACAAATCCTAAAGCAACAACACTGCTAGTGGAGCAGTGAGCGATATTCACTTTTCAGTAGGGCTTTCCTTTTAGTGTAACTTGTAATTAGTTTATAATTATCACCTGTTTATGGGTTTCGATTTTTATTATAATTACCTATAATGAGTTTATTATTGTCACTTCCTTTTTGTGCGCGAATAAACTCTGCTTGAACATGACATTGGAAACAAAACTAGTGATATACTAATGTGCGAACTCCTGCTTAGTGTGCCTATGTTTTTTTATGTAATTAAAAAATGATATCTTATGAAACATGAAAATTTTCTCTATTTTTTATTATTTCATCATCTAGCAGTTTGACTTCGTGCACTAAATGTGGTATTACGTTGTCGATGAGCACATATCAATATAAATATAAACACTTTGTACTTTAATAATATTTCTTCTATTAATTAATATATTTTAACCAGTAGGGGGCTACCCTTTCCTCGAAAAAAAATATTACGCGATGCTAATATTTTAGTCGTTGAGATAGTGGCTATAGAAGTAGCCGCATCATCTCGCGGATTATTTTTTGCCGAATCAACCGACCAAGTGGACTTTCTGGTCACCAGGTTCAAACTGTCAAGCCTAGTTTATTTGCTACAAACACATCCAATATATATACACAGAGAAACAGCTCACCCAACTACACTTTATTTCCTTTCTTCTCTTATGCTATAAAGAAGAGGGTCTCTTGTATTAATACCAAACCGTTGTAAAAATTTATATATGTAGTGCAGTAGTACATACCTAGTCTCAATCAAGACTGAGGGGAGGTACAAATGGGTGAATTCTGAACCTCGAATACTTCCTTCTTCAGAAAACGAAAAATACTGCCTGTTCAAAAGAATGGACGACACTCCCTAAAGAAAACGAATGTTCCCCGAATATGCCTGGTATCATCAGAAGTGACATATATTTGGAAACTGGGAGAACAGAGAACTCTTGGAATATAATTCTCTAATCCACACTAAGCCTTCAGAAGTTTTTAAATTACCCTTTGCATCTAAATTGCGGCGACCAACTGTTTACATAAGTAATGTTCAGGAATGGGTAATCCATGAACGTTGAATGGCAAAACTGGCCTTTATAGCTGACTGCTTTTTTCTCGAAAACGCAAGAGAGCTGCACATCATTATATTAAGAGAGAGAACAGTCCGAATACAAAGCCAGTTCCATGGCTCGGGTTAGTTTTTTGTTACATTTGCGCCCTTTGCAAAGACTCAACAGCCTAACCTGAGACTACCGATGTGTTAGCTGCCCCAAAGCTAAAGCACCAGCCCTCACCCAAACACGACCCTGGTCTACAACCTCCTGGCTGCTAGAAGGTTCATAAACAAAGTGAGGGATGCTCTGGAAGGACTGAGCATCCCTTGATTGGATAATTAGAAATTAATGGGGGACATGAAACAAAGACGATCAACAACCTAGTTGATCCACTATATCTGCAAATTGATGCTGGTACAAGGTGCTCCCATGTGCAATGTTGCACTGTTTGCGAAGAATCTCGCTGCTTATGTAAACGATTTTCTGTAATATATACTTGGGGCGGTGGGATGGTTCCTGGAAGCTAAGATCAATGGAGAGTAGCCTGGGACTGAAATTGAACAGTGCTATCTTTTGACAGCTGATGGATCTGTGTAGCTAATCTTTCTTTTCTGATCTTTTTGACAGCACGTTAAAGCTAAAATAACAAAAAATAAAGCCAAGGAATATATTATACCATTCCTTCCCCCTGGTAGTCTGGTACCATATATTAGCGCCGGAAACATCACAATTGGATGCCATGTAATGTAATGCCGCGGGTTCTAATTCTAACTGCGCACACTGAATTTAACCCTTCTTTTTTAGCAAACGGTATCTTGCGCCTGACTCCGCGTAAGGAAAAAGATTTGTGCTCAAAGGCGGTGAACGCCCCTCCCGAATAATATTACTTTGATTGATAATATATACCACCACCCCCATGTGTAGGAGTCAAGTAGTGTTTGATGGGAAGACAATTTCGCTGTCAGATCAGATGTTCAATTCGTTGAGGATTCCTAGTTAATTAGTTTATACAAGGAGAAGCATCATCTAGAGAAGCAGCTTAATTATAATTAGGCACTAGTAATAATGTAATGTATCCTGCAGGCTGCTGCAGCAGTCCAACAATATTATATTTGCAGACTTGTGGCTGCAATGGGATATATAGTACTGGAACGACTTGGGTGATGTCGGTGAGAAAAAGAGAGGTGGATGGGGATGGATTGTTAGCATCAAATCAAACGAGATAAGTTTAAGCAACGATCCAGAAAAGTGTTAATTCGAATGAAACGGTGTTGGGTACATGTACAGGCCACTGTACTAGAGTAGGACTCAGTCATTCAGAACAAGAACACATGCAACTAGAGGTGAGTGGCAGATTTATAATGAAGCTTGCTTCCGTGATGAATAATCGATAGATGGAAACTAGTAACAGAAACAAGCGCATGCGTACATATGTAAAGTTAAGGAAATACTTGCCAAATTATATATGCAGTAAAAGAAGCCCTCCACATTACCGGTTGCCGGGTGCAGGCATCTCGAAAGCCATCCGTCGGATCGGAAGGGGGGAAGCAAGAAGGCACACGCACGCACAATCCGCCATCGGGCCCCGCTCACGTCGGCAGCCGGAGCTGGTCGTCCGTTACGGGGGAGACCGATCAGTGGCCGGCGGCTGGCCGGAGTTGGGGAAGGAAGCGGATAGGAGATGCAGTTGCAGTCCTCGGCTATGGCCGCTTCCGGATGGGAATCAACCATTTGTTGGGCTTGGACCTCTGGACGAAGTCGGCACTCATGGGCAGGCAGCAGGCTTGGCTGTGATGAACTAGCGACAATGCACATGAGGCCTGATTAGTTTTCCAGGCCAGTCCCAACCACAAAGAGGGATGACGCACCCATCCAAAAAACAAAAAAAAAATCTTACATATCTCAATATTTTTTTCCTTATCTACCATATATATTCCACTCAAAAGAAACTACCATATATATGGGATGACATGCAACTTCAGGTTTTATGATTTTTTTTTTCGAATTACATGATACAATGCAGAGGCAATGACAACGGGCACACAGTCACAAAAACTATGATACACAGGCAGGCATGGAATGGTATACTATGAGTGCCCACTGTTATTCTTGCTTGCGTCCGCAGGGGGTACCAACTAGTTCGACTGATATTTACAACGGGCAACATCTGGCGAGAACAAGCCTAATAGGGGACCTCACTTCTCATGCTTTGTTGTTGTTGGCCTCAAGTGCCTGGAATACGTCCGAGCGAGTCACAATTCCTGTTACCATCATGAGGTAAAGGTTATCAACTTATCATGTGGGCATCATTTGTAGAATCAGAGTAAGAAACTAGTACTTAGTATATGTACCACGAATGTATCCTCATAAAATTTGCAGGGAGTAAAGCCAAGGGTGTCAGGAGCAGGGTGGGTAATTTCTACTAGGTATATTTTCAGCAAAAAAAAAAAACATCTGGATAACAGGTTCCTGAATCCAAATCAACTATGTTCAGCTTCCACCTAAAGTTAACTGGAACCACTAGCACTGTATTGAATCATGATTGCTTTAGTGAAACCTTATTGTCACAGACTCACAGTTTGCAGTTAATTTGCCAAGGGCATGTTTTAAAAAGTTTACCAAGTCCAAACCCTAAACAGATCTCTTAATAACAAAGTAAAACAGTATTCTCCAAGGCAGCTAAGTAAAACTGCACTGCTGAAAAGTTTAGTTGCTCTATTTATATATAGACTTTATTTATGTACTCCTAGTCCAAAAAAAAAGTAAGCAATCTGGAAAAATCTTACCGATCACTTGCTGCTGTTCATTCACAACCGGTATCCTGTGAACCTTTTCCTTAAGCATTAGTGCTGCAGCCTCTGCTCACATATCCAGCAGCAACCTGTTAGCAAGTTGTTGTAGCGATTTCAAGTGTTCTTAGGGTAGAGGGGAGTAAAGGTTACCCAAGACCGTCTTCTGGGGTGTCAGGGTTATCGCAGGAGATGACATGACTTCACCTACAGTTGACTCCATCTGCATCTCGGCAACAAGCTTGAAAAATTAGCCGATAGTTTCCAAACCAAAGATATCGGAAATGGCTGCATCTTCTTTAACATGCCCTGAGCACAGGTTTCATTAAAGAAATATTTATTTATCCCCACTAGGAAATGTTTCTCAACCACTAGGCCCATACACAGCATGGGGCTGAGCTGTTCATAAATGTAATGGTATTAAAGATACCAGTCAAAGAACCAAGTGCGCTAAACGCCACAAAAAAATAAGGGCAGACCCACTGCTGGAGGCTCCCACATGAGTGGGGTCTGGAGAAGGGAAAAACCGAGGCAAGCCTTCCCCCGCAAATCTGCGGAGAGGCTGCTTCGAACCCACGACCTGGTGACTCAGTGAGACAGCTCTCACCACTGCACCAGGCCTGCCCTTCAAACGCCACAAAAAAATATTTATTCCAAATGGAAGGAACTCTCATGTCTTATGCATGATCATCAACAAAACTATAGATTGTTTAGGTGAAAATTGCAATATGTGATGAAAGAAACAGTCAGTACCAAGCCTCTCTTCAGTCCAAAATGCATCAAACAAACTAAGAAAAAAATTTCTGATAAGAAAGAAAAATTCAATTGGATTCTGAGCATCTGACTGCAGACGGGCTAACATTTAAATTACCTTTATATTTATGCTTTTCAGAAAATACTTTAAATGTTTCAGGACTGAGAAACTTTTGAAGCAGGTAAGCTAATTTGTAAAATATATCATTAAAACCACTGACTGAATCATTGAAAAATCTCTTGTTGGAGGAACAATCATAATATACCCATTTAAGTTAATTCTACTAGAGACCAGAAATTTTCACTAAATAAGCTCTAATTTTTAGGATTGGACCACTTGTTTATCTTTTCTGTATGTTGCTCACTTTAGCATGTCTGACTCAGCAAGCATCAGACATGCTACAACCCTTGGTCTTGACTTTGATCATATCCCCAAGGATTACTTTCTGGTTCCGTGTTCATGTTTGTGGTTCAGCCCAGATGCTCTCAAGTCTCAACAGGTGGCATAGTAGCTCTAGGCCTCTAGCATCCAAGTTAGTTGAGATAACAGATAACTGAGTAGGGGTTTTGTTTATAACAAACTGAGTGGAAATTAAGTCAGGAGTTCAGATCCTAACAGCAGTGTTGTATTTCAGCTGTCATGCTTACATAATACTCCTTCCGTTTTAAATTGTAAGTGCATTATGTCTTGATCGACTTTAATTCAAAATGGAGGAAGTACAACTAAGAATTCTAATTATTTTAACTAAATGAATGATCGAGCAAGGGAATGACAGCAAACGAGATGAACATGTGGCCAAACTAAACTGAAAAGAGCCAATTGAGAATATGCTTAAAGAACACTGAAAAAACATTGTGGTCATCCAATTAGTGATTGGTTTTGTTCTCCATCCCCGTTTTTCATGATTTGATAAATCTATCTGTAGGAACATCCCAATTAAGCAATTAACAGGCATAAAAAAGTGACAGGCAACAAGGAGAAGGAGGAGCAGTTAGTGAACCGACCCCATTGGGCGCCTTGGCCTTGTCCTTCTTGGAGATCACCCCAACGCACCTGCCGTCCTCGTCGACCACGGGCAGGCCGGAGAACTGCTGCGCGGCGAAGAAGGCATCGACCTCCGCGAGCCGCTGCCCCGGCGTGGCCACCTGCACGGGGCGCGACATCACGTCCCCGAGCTTTGCCGCCGGGCTCATCTGTCAGCCAAGAACAACCAATTCATATGGAATCGTCCCAGAGAGAGACAGCAAAGGGGGAAAGGAGAGGAGTCGGCGGGTCCGGGGGTGTGGTGTGGAGTGGACGTACGTACCTGGTCGGAGGTGACGATCTGGGACTCGAGGTAGGCGCGGAGGTCGGCGTAGCTGAGGAGGGAGAAGTTGCCGGGCCACTCCCCGGACAGGATGCCCTCGGGGTACTCGTCGATGGCCGGGCGCAGGTCATGATCCAGCGCGGCGGACGCCACCAGCGCAGCGCCACGCCCGCCCAGGGCGGCCGGCACCGGCGCGCGCCGCGCCACTACTGCCACGGCGGACGCCGGCTGGACCGGTGGGATGGGGAGGACCGCGGCCTTGACGGCGGCGAAGGCGGGGGCGGAAGGCGCGTACGCCATGGGTGGGGACGAGCGGATCGGACCTGCTGCCGTCTGGCGCTGGAGCGTCGTCTGTTGCGTGCACGCTCGCTGCGGCGGACGTTGCTCTGCCTCTGCTCGTGCTTGCTGCGGTGCGGGCTGCCGTACGCCGGTGCCGGGTGCGATCTCAAGTACTCGGAGTGGAGGTGGACCGGAGTGAAGTGGAGTGGAGTGGAGAGTGCGGTGGAAATCTCTAGAAGGGCGCGGGCCCACTCGCAGGTGGCCACGCGGCTCTCTCCCGGCTCAGGTGTGGGCGGGCATCAGATCTATATATTGGTAGGTCCCCAAATTTTAACATTATATCTAATTTTAGGTATCTCAATGATCTCAAATAAAAATATTGTCAACTATAAAGTTGTAGGTCTTATCATGGTCTACAACTTTTGTTTTGGTTATTTCTCCATCCAATTTCATTTGAACAGTTCAAAAATATTTGAATTACAAAATATATCAATTGTAGGATTACTTTTTTTTAAGTTAATGACGATACATTTGATCACTTTCGTCATGAGCTATTGTCACAAAGATTGGGAGGTGCACATGGTGACGGTTGTTTATGACCAAAGCACAACTTAGTCATAAACACTTGTCATCCATTGAAAAATTATCATAAACGTATCGTTTCTATAACTTAAAAAGTGCTTTGTGATATCAAAATTGTCATAGAAGGCCCAATCTCTTGTAGTGCATTGGATCCTTTTTTATTATGTCTTTTTGGTTATCTTTGTTGTAATCTGACCATTAAGTTACTGGTTTTTAACTGAATAGTATGGTAGTTTGAGTATGATCATAGCAACATTAAATTATTTTTTGTCCTGCTTTTTTATGAGTGTATTTTGTGCAGTCGGTCAAGATTGTTTTTCGAGTGCAACATAATGTTTTTAGTCTGCAAGTACAATGCTTCAAAAGAGCTAATGCAAAGTCGTTAGAGTGCAAAGTTTCCGAATTACAAGTTTTGAACCTTTACATGGAAGTAGAATTTTTCTATCAAATTTTGTGAACCTTTACAAGTTTCAAAAGAAATCATAGTCATTGCACTAGTGTTTTTCATATGCATATTTCTACCAAATAAAGATAGGTCTGGTTTTTCCAGAGGAGTGGATGCATGTGGTTTCTGTGTTTTTTTATTATTTTGAATTTAGTACGATTTTTCACCACGTGATTGTGAATCTGTAATGTATATTACACCTGCCTACTGTGTTCTCTAATAGATTCTCTATTCAAAAAACAAAACAATAGATAATGAATTCTGTCATAACGACATCGATCACAAAAATCAGAACATGGACTAAGGAATGCATACTCTAATGCAAGAGAAATCCTATGAATGCATTTTGTTTTTCCCTCTTATTGTATTACTGTTTTTCATTTTTCCATGCAAATTTGTTCTGCAATCGATAGCTACTAGTATTTTTGGGGATGCTACAATATTTTTATAACCTAGTAGTACAAATTTAATAATGTGATAGATCAAAGTATTAAATCTAGCCATACAAAGTTTGTATTGTGATATTTCAAAATTTATAAATTCGAAGTGTAAAGTTTTTAACCTAGCAATACAAAGTTTATAATGTGATAGATCAAAGTATTAAATCTAGCAGTAGAAAGTTTGTAATGTGATAGTTCATAGTTAATAAATTTTGAGTCTAAAGTTTTGAACCTAGCAGTACAAAGTTTATAATGTGATAGTTTAAAGTTTTGAACATAGCAGTACAAAGTTTATAATGTGATAGTTCAAAATTTATAAATTCTGAGTGTAAAGATTTGAACCTAGCGGTATAAAATTTACAATGTGATACTTCAAAGGTTTTGAACCTATCAGTACAAAGTTTGTATGTCAATCAAAATATTGAATCTATCAGTAGAAAGTTTGTAATGTGATAGTTCAAATTTTATAAATTCTGAGTGTAAAGTTTTGAACCTAGCAATACAAAGTTTATAATGTTATAGATCAAAGTATTGAATCTATCAGTAGAAAGTTTGTAATGTGATAGTTCAAAGTTTATAAATTCTGAGTGTAAGTTTTAAAATTAGCAATATAAAGTTTATAATGTGATAGTTCAAAGTGTTTGAACCTAGAAGTACAAAGTTTGTAATATCATAGTTCAAATTTATAAATTCTAAGCATAAAGTTTTGAACCTAACGATACAAAATTTATAATGTGATACTTCAAAGTTTTGAACCTAATAGTATAAAATTTGTAATGTCATAGTTCAAAGTTTATAAATTTTGAGTGTAAAGTTTTAAACCAGCTATACAAAGTTTATAACATGATAGTTCAAAGTTTTAAACCTAGCAGTATAAAGATTGTAATGTGATAGTTTAAAGTTTATAGATTCTGGAATCAATTTTACAATTTCATAATATTAATATTTTTTTACGTACACTAATATAAAGTTCAACATAACTTCATGCATTTTTAATCTGTTTACCTTGTCTTGTTTTTTCAGGGTATTAATGACAAATATTTAGCACTGAAAAATAAAAGCCACATGTGCTTTATGTTAGCTATTTGCAAAGACATATATATCTCGATAAATAAGATGTACTCCTTTTTCTAGTTTTTTCTGATAACCTTCCATGTCTTTTATGGACCATTTTTTATTTTTCTATATCAGTTGAATTATTAATCTCGTATAAAGTATTATGGAACCTAATATATTATGATTTTTTAAAATATTACTTTTACATCTATATGGATGTCAAACCATCCACCTGCCCTTTTCATCTCCCACGAACCTGCTATCCCAAAAGATAAAAAAAATGAGCTCGTAGAATCCAAATTGGCCCATTGACTTGGAAACTAGACAGGAGAAACATCAATGGACCGGTCCAAAATCTAGACATGAGAAAGGAGAAACAGCCCATATAAGAATCTGCGAGCTGCTGATGTAGTTCAATGGGCCGGCCCAAAATCTAGACATGATTCGTGCTCGCGCTATTATTCCTTCTCGTGCACGCACGTCGGTATCCTTGGCAGCGCACGCGCACCGAGGAATAGTGTCGGATACTTCTTCGCATCTGCTTTATCGAATCGATAACCGTGTTTCAGGGAGATGTTATTGTTTGAGTTAGAGGACAAAAAAAATTATTACAATAGGTCAATGAGGTAACATGATTTTTTTCAGGGGTGTGGGGCGAAAGTTTTTTTTTTATTTACTTTCGAGCTTTTCGTTACTCATCGGTCTCAGCTAAATCTCTGGACACCAACTCCTCAACACCGTGAGGTACACGTACATCATTCCAAGTGATTTTAGTCCCACTAGGACTTTTACAAACCAATAGATGCAATGGCATGTGCTACCTTATTATAAACTCGAGAGCAAACACTAATATTACAAGAAACAAAATCTAAGGACATCAAATGCTTGATTTCAGTTATCACTCCCCCCATCTCTAACAGGCGGTATTCAAACCCCTCCACTGTTGTCTTCACCAACACAGCATCCAGCATCCGTGTTTCTATGGAAATCCGAGAGATTCCCAAGTTCACAGCCTTCTTAAGGCCTTATTTGGATGTAGTTGGATTTGCATCAATCCAAGTTCCACTACAATCCACTTGAACACATGCTTTTTTACGTCACCCCAATACATGTTGAGTGAAGTGAATTTAATAACATCCAAACAAGACATAAGGCCTACCAAGAACCCCAACAATTCTGAATGAGGTAGAATGAATTTTTTTTTTTGAGGGGGTGTGTGTTGCCCCTTTGAGCCATGCCGATGCGGCTACGCCGGCCCGGCACAGATTAGCCTGATCTGATGGGTAGCTAAGCCCATCAACTGGCCGCAGCTTTTCTAAAAAAAAAAATCAACTGGCGGCAGCTCGTTTTTACTATTATTAAACACGTGTTGCAACGGGATTGGTGAGAGGGTAATGGGAAAAAAGAATAAGGCCTTTACTATGCTGGTCTGAATGGCGGCTTGAGATTAGAAGAGGTGCAATGAAAATCTTATACAATCTTTTTTAAATCAATGTAGAAATGTAGTGTTTCGTTATATACGAGGTACCTCATACTATCTACGCTAAAAGTTTTGTAACCTTACTTCCAAAAAAAATCTTGTTTCAGAAAATATGTGGATGAGGTTCACCAAAATTGAATCTCTAAGACCACTATTTTTAGATATGAGAATATCAGGATAGAATAGAAAATGAAGATCCTATTTTGAAAGTTTCAGGTGACATGAATGGCAAGCCACGACATGCCATTTTTTTCTTCACCCGTATCACCACTGTCGCCCGTCTGTATGCTCATTGGAATTCAATCTCCTGTTACTATTTTCAGATGTGAAAATACTAGAAGATTGAGTAGACAAATTAAGTAGGCAATAGAGATCCCTTTTGGAAGTTCTGAGGTGCCAGGATGGCTGGCCACGGTGGCAAAGCATCTTAAGAGTATCCAAAATTTTCTTCATAAAAATATGAAGTTTTACCACTCTAAAAAAATATTAGAAGGAATAAAAAAGATTATCTCGAAGAGTTTCAAATAAGCCACTCCTAAAATATTGAAGACAATTTTACATTATGAATTCTATACCATTTCTAAATTATCCTGACCACTTTTATATATTTTTTTTCTCTTGTACATTTGCATCAGGAACATTTTTCTACTCTTTGTTCTTTCCACGTCCTTCTAACTTTAGATTGGCTGATAAACACGCGCAGGATAGAGAAGATACGCACGACTCGAAACTTTTCCCAAGTTCTAAAAGATTATGAGGATATATTATGAGTTGTTGGAGATGTGATTTTTTTTCTTATCTTGCTAAAAAACAAGGATTAGAAAGAGATTTAGCGGAACTCTCAGAGATGCTCTCCATATTCGACGGTTCGCTGTGTATGGAGACAGTGGCGCTACGTATGATGTACGTAGCTCTAAGGCTAATAAGACTCACTCACTACTGAAGAGTGTGGAAAAATAATAATTAGAATGGCTTAAACCTTAAGACCGTCGACAATTATATTTTTTTTTGTATAGTC